TTGAAAGGGGACGATCTTTTTGAAGGATGGCCTTGTCAATTCAGAATAAACAAGTACCATTTCACCCCTGAGAGCGTTGGCTCGTCTGGGGTGCAAATACACACGGATTCCGGATTTCTTACTGTACTTCAGGACGATGAGAGTGTCGGCGGGTTGGAAGTCATGAACAAATCAGGCGAATTTGTCGCGGTCGATCCCTGTCCCGGTACCCTACTACTTAACCTTGGAGACATGGCAACAGTAAGTATAATGTTTTCTTTTTCATTTCTTAGAGTTGTGGACCATAAGTTCTTTACTCTATAATGAACATAAAAAATGGTGAAAATTAGTTTGAAGGAGTCTTAAATATATGCCAACAATTAATGCCAATACTCCTTTTTAGGTGATAAAAACCTAGGATGTGTTATTTTGGCTGAGCTTCCATGTATTATAGTTTTTTCTCTTCAATTTATTCTTATTATTTACTCCCTCCGTCCCGCAAAATATTTCTTGTTTTGATTTTTAAGGAATTTAAGACAAGTGTATTTTTGTGTTGACTTTCCAAAAATGCTCTTGGATGTGATAGGTAAATGTAGGTGTGATTGGTAGATTAGTAGTGAAAAAGTGTGATGTGATAGGTAGGTAAAGAATTAGTAGGGGTAAGAGTGACTTTTTAATAGACATTAGAAATTTTTTTTGGAACAGATGAAAAAAGAAAAAAGAAAAAAGAAAGGTTTTGTGGGACGGAGGGAGCGTTATTTATTCTTATTAGAATCAGATCAGAAACAAATTTAAATATAACTACAATTAGACGATACCACATTAGACCTTAATGACGCCAGATCAGATGAGACGACAAAGAGAACAAGCTCTACGTTTTATACTTCGAAATTTGAGGAAACTTGTTTATTTAATTGGTTGCAAGGTTTGGAGCAATGGAAGATTTTGCAATGTGAAGCACAGGGTGATGTGCAAGGAACCAACTGTCCGGTTTTCGATTGCTTCGTTCCTTTTGGGTCCGAGGGAGGATGCCATACAACCGCCACCGGAGTTGCTAGAGCCGCCTCATCTCCGGCGACTATATGTTCCCATCACCTATGATAAACTTAGACAGCTCCGGCTAGACAACAACATGCGTGCTGGTGAAGTTCTTTCCCTTTTGTTGGCTGAGAATTAGGGTTTTTTTAGGTGACCCAAACTTTCATATTTTTGTGCTCCGTTTTATATAGGGTAAAATACTAAAGTAGAAGTAAAGCATTGTATATATATACTAATGGGCAAGGTTCCCATGACATTGGGAACCAATGTCATGACCCGGGGGCGCTCCGGTGCCCCGTTCGTAAAATTGACGGTTCTTACCCCCCGGTAAACCCCCCCACCCCGCCCTGACCCGAACGCACCCCCCCACCCCCTTCAATTGCACCCCACAAGTTGATTTTGACTTTGGAGTCAAATTTTGACTCCAAAGTCAAAATCAACTTGTGGGGTGCAATTGAAGGGGGTGGGGGGGTGCGTTCGGGTCGGGGCGGGGTGGGTGGGTTTACCGGAGAGGTTAGGGGGGGTAGGAACCGTCAATTTTACGAACGGGGCACCGGAGCGCCCCCGGGTCATCCCATAACATTGGTTCCCAATGTCATGGGAACCAAGGTGTATACTAATATAGAATTTCTATGTTCATGTTTCGAAATAAGAGTTGAAATGTATTTATAGTGTCAATCATGACTATACACATTATAAAAAAAGTACTCTGAAATGTTCATGTACAGTGTCACATTACTACAGTGCGAACTCTTATCTTGAGATAAAAATATGGAATTTCTACTTTGATACTTTATCTATGTTTTTTTTATTTAAGATAATTTTTTTATTATATACAGGAGCTTTTGTGTTTTTTGTGGATTTGGTGGAAATTTTATTCACATGTTTTTATCTCACTAGATTGGAAATTTACACTTGAGTCATCAGATCGTTGAAGGAAACTATATGTAGGCCCTGTTTGGTATCTGTGTTAGATGTTAGTATTAGCGTTTTAAAAACGCTATCTGATGGTAGACCGGTAGTCTTTAGCATTAGCATTTTCAGAATTGATCTGCACCTTTAAAATTTGATCCAAAACGCTAACGTTAATCGAAAACACATTCCCAAACAAGGGCCTAGTGTTAGATTGTCGAAGGAAACGTTAAGTGGTGTTTAGTTCTTGGAATATGTTTTAACACATTCCGATCTTACCATAAGTAGTGTTTAGTTCTTTTAATCAAGTTATTTTCAATTCAATTTATTTGAAAACTAGTATAAAATTAAAAAATAAAATATATATTTATAAAACTTATATCAAAAGAAGATGTGACAACTATATTACTTTTTCAAATGGATAGCAAAATTAGGGGAAAAAATTGTTAAAGTTTGATCTTGCGAATGGTCACTACAAGAATCTGCAATTTCTGCGACAAGAAAAATCCGTCGCAGATCTTTGAAATCCGTAGCAGAATTCATATTAGCAACGACTTTGCGACCAAATTCCTCCGTCGCAGACTTGCCGTCGCTGGACCGACATCTGCGACGGGAAAGCAATGTCGTCACAGATTTAGCGACGAAAACTACGACGGAAATGGATGGTAAAAAATGCGAACAAACTGCGACGGCCGAATTTTCTGTCGCAGATCTGCGACGGTAATTGCGACAGCATATTGGCAGCTCGGAATCTTTTAATCTGCGATGGAAATGATGCCCGTCGCTGATCCGTCGCTGTTATCTAGCTTTTGGACAGGCAGTAGCTGGTTTCTTCCCTGGACAGCAGCTCTTAAAAATACAGATATGGTTAAATACCAAATGGGGGATCCATTCACAGGGAAGGGAGTTCACACAGGGTAGAACAACAAAGAACATATCCTCAATAAAACCACAATCAAATTTTAAATATAAGTGTCAAACAAAATCTACATCGTAAAGTAGAACAAATACAAATATTCAAGTTAATGTTATTCATGCATAAAACCCATCAAAGTCAAAGTTTTGGCAGAGGAGGAGGAGGAGGACGACGACGACAAACGTCTGGCGGAGGAGAAGGAGGAGGCCGGTGAATAGAAGCTGACGGAGGACGGGGGCTGGCGGAGGCCGGTGGTGGCGGAAGAGGGCTGGACGACGAGGGCGCTGGAGGACGAGGGCGGAGATGCGGAGGCGGACCTTGGGAGGAGGAGGCGGAGATGGGGCGGGAGCTTCGGCGACGAAGGGAGGCGTAGGTTCCGGCGTCAGGAGGTTAGGGTTGGGTTGTGTTTGTGTTGTTTTCCCGTAAGGGAAGAAGGACCTATTTTAACTCATACCTGCGACGGACTACATTCCGTCGCTGACTTCCGTCGCAAGTGTGCGACGCACTACCACATCTCGTCGCTGATATTTGTGGCGACAGAAATGTTTAATTTCGCGCTAAAATTCTGCGACGGGTTAAAACGGTCCGTCGCTAATTAGCGACGGTTATTGGTTTCCGTAGCAGATATTGTCGACGTTACCAAATTTTCCCACACCCGTAGCAGATTTTCGTTGCAGTTTTGACAATTTCTTGTAGTGGGTGAACATGCAATTTAAATTTGGAAAGAAAGATTATATTGGACAATGTATTTTTTTCTTAAATAAATAAAGGAAAAAAATAAGAAACCAATTTTGATATGAATTAAAAAGAAAATTGTTATTTTTAGGTAGAAGTTTTGCTTTTTCATTTTTGTACCTTTAATAATATTTTTTTCGTTTCTTTAAAAAAAGAATTGTATAAATTTATGTAATTGTTTTATTATTTACATAAATTTCAAATGCTAAATTTTAAATATATATGAAATAAAATAAGAACTCAAATATGAGAGCAAAGAAGTACCATATATTATTATACTTATTAACCCATCGCCAAAAATGGACAATAGCCTAATTGTTATTGGCGGAGCTAATGCGGACTTACAGATTCCCTACTTTCCTATATTGTGTTTTTGGTAACAAATATAATTATGACCTGGCAAAATATTTTTTCATATTTACGTTTGGTTCCTCTACCTATGTAATAATAATACTCTATGATTATTTGTAAGCACTATGCATTAATATTAATTAATACTTTGTAATATGCTGAGTATTAATTAATGATTAGTTTATTTATTTTGATCTGAGTATTTGAAAATATTGTCCAATATTTTATGTTTTTGGTAACAAATTTTGACATATCTAAATTTCTAATCATATTTGGGTTTGATTCCTCTCTCCCTATTTTAAAATACACCCTCAGTTTAGAAATTTCTTTTCCAATTTGAAGGTTAAAAAGTATAAAAAAGATTTTCCATGTTTGTTTTTGATGCGATGTAATAAAGTAAATAGCGTAGATAAAAAGTAAGGGTACAATGACACACTCATTAGACGTATTTTGTCAAAATAGAAAATGGGAAAAAAAAATTGAACGCTCAAAAAAGTAAAGTAAGAAAGAAATCAATATGCAGAAGAAGTAATGAATCTTTGTTAGCACAAGTGTTATTAATATTACCCCTTCCGTTTCAAATTTGATTGCATGTTTAATATTCACATGGTGAAACTTCATTAATCTTTTTCCCCTTTTTTTTGTTCGTCATTTGATAAAATAATATAATTAGTCACTCATTTTGTAGATCTTTTGATGTAGTTTATGAATATGTAATTTTATTTTTTAATTCTACATTTTTTTCATATAAAATAATTTAAAAATAAATTGAGTCAAATATAATAATCTAAAACATTGACGAATAATATAAATACGGAGTATTTATTATCTTTTTTAAACTACGAGTAATTTTTATAAATGACATAAAATATGCAACTAAAATTAGAATCCAATTAGGACTAAAGTTTTTATATCTATCTTATAAATAGGAATGTAACTATTTATAATAATCAATCAATTACTCAAAAATTACTTCTCCGTATTATCATTAATAATCAATCGATGGGCAGTATCAACGGAGTTTGGTCTAAATGCAAAGCGGGTTGGACTCGTTTAAGGGAGGTCTCCAGTCTAACTCTGTCCAAAAAATCGCCTCCTCCGCCGCCGCCGCCGCCCGGAGATTCTCAAATTAATGCTAGATGGGCTGTCCGGGTCGAATCCGGACGTTATACATCGCCGCCGCCGGCGATAGACTTACAAGACGGCCGGTCAAATCCGGAGATGTCAAGAAAGCTGATAGAGGCATGCGAGGAGTGGGGCTGCTTCAGGGTGTACAACCACCACAGCCTCCTCCCGCCGTCGCTCACGGCGGAGATGAAAGAGGTGGCGAGATCTCTGTTCGATCTTCCGCCGGAGGCGAAGACGAAGATCGGCTTCGTTCCTCCCTTCAGTGGGTATGGGCGCTCAACTCCGGAGAACCCACTCCGCGAAGCTTTTGGGCTTTATGATATCTCATCTCCACCAGATGTTGAAGCCTTCTGTGCCCAGATCCACGCCTCCGACCACCAGAGGTCTCTTCTTCTTCTTCTTCAATTCGATTCACTTTTTATTCAGATTTATCTGATACGGAGTATTTTAATTGGTATGATAAAAGGTTTGGATAGTTCTTAATTGATGAATTTTCATTTATTTATCTATTTATTAACTCCGCATTTAATTTTTCACTATATAAATGCCTTTAAATTCAATTTCATACGCAACAGCTATTTTGGAATAGCTGTGTTTGCCAAACATTTTTTCACAAAAAACTATCACCACCAGCCGGTCAAAACAGCTAACTCTACCAGCCGTTTAAACCAGCCAACACAATCAGACAACCGCTAATTACCAAACAGGGCCAATATAAAAACACTCATAAATAGCTCCACGATTAGTGAATTCTAAGTGCGCATCTCGTGTACCATAAATACATTCTCTTCATGACCGGAGAAGGGATCAAATCCGCATTACACAAAGGCATTCATATGCCTTTGCGTTGTTAATATTCATTTGGGTGAATTCTTGAGAAAGTTATCTTTGAACTTTGTTGCTTGTTTTTGTTTTTTATAAACAGAGAGACTATAGTGAAGTACGCAAAAGCAGTGCATGAAATGATAATGGAGATTGCGAGGAGATTATGTGAAGGGTTGGGTGTGAAAGGGGAACTTTTTGAAGGATGGCCGTGTGCTCTCAGAATGTTTAAGTACAATTTTACCCCGGATAGCATTGGCTCGTGTGTGCTGAAGACACACACAGACACTGGATTTCTTACTCTACTTCAAAACGATGAGAGTGTGGGCGGGCTGGAAATCATGAACAACAAATCAGGCGAATTTGTCGCGGTTGATCCCTGTCCTGGTACCATCCTAATTAACATTGGAGACACGGCAGCAGTAAGTATAATGTTTTTCAGTTTTATGCATTGTTTTTTTTCAAAATATTTGGCACCATCTGTTCAGGGTTTCTAATCTAATATTTTGACTAAATATTTAAAAATTTGATATTTTAAAATTGCATTTCAAAATCAATCAAATGATATTAAGTTTACATTGAATTTGGTGTACTTCTCTGCATATTATAGTAAAAAAGTTCATAAAAAGTTTGACTAAAAAACTCGAACAAAGCACTAATTGTGGGTCAAGTGGAGCAATAAGGAGTAAGATATTTGTTCATATTTTAAGGGAAAAATAATCTCAGCTTTTTGTAGTCTTCTAAAATACATCTCATGTTGTATCGTGATGCCAAGTAAGCCGATATTAACTTACTTCTTGCACGGTTTGTGCCATTTTTTACCCACACTAGTAGATCCCTAACGAGATTTGTATAATCGCACATGAACTTGTTTTTGGCAAACCAAGATCATGTAGATTTTCTTATGCATTTTTTTTAAATTTTCTCGATAATCAACAACAACTTTTTTCCCTTAAAATGACACTACAATCTCAAATTAATTAATATTATGTTCTCTAGTTTTCATACTTTGATCTGAAAAAAAAAATATTTGTTTGATTTGTTACCAGATTTGGAGCAATGGGAGATTTTGCAGTGTAAAGCATAGGGTGATGTGCAAGGAAGCAACAGATCGGTTTTCTGTTGTTTCGGGCCTTTTGGGTCGCAGAGATTGTGTGATACAACCGCCACCGGAGTTGTTAGAGCCGCCTCATCTCCGCCGACTATATGTTCCCGTCACTTATAATAGACTTAGAGAGCTCCGGCGAGACAACAAAATGCATGCTGGTGAAGTTCTTGATCTTTTGCGAGCATAGGAAGTTGAAGTGTTAGACCTTATGGTGTGTGAGCTTTTTAAATGAGACCTTTTTTTGCATGAATGCTCATAGGTATATTTGGGAAACGATTTAGATATATATAATAAGTAGGATACTCCCTCCGTCTCAATTTTGAATACAATTTATTTTTCTCTTCTCTTTAGGAGTGAAAACGGATATTAATCGGATGAGATATGTCATTACCAAATTTGTATCCGTTTATTTTAATCAGATATTGAATTTGGATATGGATCTTGACGGATATTAAAAATCAAAACTGTATCTGCATTCGTTAGATATCGGAAATATCTGTATCCGTTTCATATTTTTAAAATCAAATTAAGCAATACTTTAATTTTCAATCAAATTAAATTCAAAAATATTATTAAATCAAATATAATTTGTTATGGAATAATTATTTTTTTATTTTTTATAATTTATGATATTCGACGACAATTTTATATGGTAAAAAGATATACTCGTATACACACTATATATACGAGTATGTTTGATTTATTATTTATTTAATTTTATTTGTATATAGTATATTACTCCGTGAATGCACAACTTATTTCACATGCAGTGCTTTTGTATACTTCACTATTGTCTCTCTTTAAAAAAACAAAGTTCAAAGATAAAATTAGCAAAGCTATATGAATGCTTTAGTGTATCCCTTGAAGAGAATGTATTTATGGTACATGAGTTGTGCATTCACTAGTGATTAACTACATGTGAAATGCTTCCCACAATTGACTTAACTTTCTCCGTGTTATAATCGACGAAATAAAACATGAAAAAAAATCAAGTTGTATAATTCATGACAAACCGACCATTGGATTGTTGTGAATTTTTATAATGTTTATATACTAACATTCAATCTTATGGTCGGTTTCAAAGGAATTTAATCCGAGTCGAATACAAGATGAATGTAAGAAATGGAGAATATTAGGAGTTCTCTTCAATATATAGATAGGTATATTTGATCCATTCAAGATCTAATATATGTTGATCCATTCCATATTCTTTTCTTTTTTGGGAAAAATCAACCAATTAATTGAACCAATGAACACCCTTAGGAGGATTGTCTTGCACAAGACGTAGAAATTCAATAATTTACATTTCTCAAACTTCAGTTTTTTTTTTCCAATAAATAACAATGCATCTAGTATTATCTCCTACAGTTTTATATCACACCTTAAGACCTAATCTCTCGGAACCTGTCACTCCCACAACCAGAGGGGAAGTAACCCAATTCTCCTTGCTCCTCCATGACAATGACCCAAAAGCATACCCTTGTGCAGGGCCAACCACCTTAAACTCTAAGGTGAAGTTGAGCTTCTGACCATAGTGATCAAACACGAGTCGTCTGGGCACCACGGTCACATTGACTCCCTTGGGAGGGGACACGGACGCCTTGTACACATTCACTGGCTTGCCCACATTGGTCACTGTTCTAGTGACCCAAACCTCGCCGTTAAGGGATGGGACCGTAACGGAGGGATAGTTAAGGGCAGACGGCGAAGGGAGTGTTTGGTCACAAGTGGAGTTGTCTCCGGTGATCAAGTGGAGGGACTTCTCATCATAACCAATTGAGCAAAGGAATGCTTTGTAATCTGTTGGTTGGGCGTCGTACACTAACCCGGGGTTAAGGACTCTGGTTGGGTTAATGAAACCCGCACCGTAGTCGAACGCGTCTGCCCGTCTTCCATTAGGATCAACAGAGATTGGCTTTTGAAGCTTGTTCAGAACTGAAGCTGCATCAAACCATGGTTAAATGAGTTATGTAGGGTTAAAATGCAGATTAAATGTGTTTGACAATCCAACCAGCTGCATCAAAAGTAACGTATCTTAGTTTAAGTACAAATAAATTTTCATGAAATGTCAATAACATAGTTACATTTGCTTCCAAAAGAAAACATAAAGGGCATGTTTCACCAAGGTACACCCACCTTCTAAACTTTGTAGGATATAAATATTGTGGAAAAAACAGTTCTAGCTTTATTTGTTAGTTTGACTATATTTTCACTTGTTTGGCACACATTTCTGAAAAAAAGAATTACATTAATGACAATAAAAATCACCACTTTTGTTCAATATGGGATTTTAGACAGAAAATTAGTTTTCACAGACGGCTTGAAAAGTTTAAGTTTCCAGATTGGGCTTCACGTTTATAAAGCTAGGATCCAATCCATATTGTTGTAAATTTTTCAAAATCTTGGGTCATTTTAGGTCGATTTTATGGTGTATCACTAATGGAGCGAACGAGTCATTATTGACAATGTTTTAGTTTTGAGAGAACAGTGAACTAAATAAAAAAAACACATTAAACTTCTATTGCTTTGTATTTCCTGTAAAATTTCAGTTAGCAAATGCTTCGTTACATACATATATGTAACGAAAACATACAGCGTACTCCGTATATAATAACAAGTACTCCCTCCGTCTATCAAATAAACGTGACAAACACATAACAATGCTTGACTGAAACTATTTTCAATTTATTTTATTTAAATATTGAGTATATTTCATAAATAGTCCGTAATTATAGGTGATTTTTCATATTTAGTACCCAATTCTAAGATATTACATAACTGGCCCTATATTTTTGAAAATTGTTCCATAATTGGTGCTTTACGGGCATATTTGGCCTAAAGAACTATTTGGGGACCATTTATGTAGTATCTAAGAATTAGGGACTAAATATGGAAAAACTACCGATTATTAGGAATCATTTATGGAATTTAATTTTAAACACCGGTATAAAATTTAAAAAGAAAAATTAAATATTAAAATACTAATCAAAAGTTCTACAACTCACATGACTATGTTATTTTAACAAATGTTCAATGAAAATATATAAAGAAAGAAGATATAGTTTGACATATGAATAGCGACTGTAAAGTTGATTTAAAGACGAAGAGAGTAGGTAGGCAAGTGGGGCATACCGGTGGTCATAATGGCAGATTTGATTGCAGAGGGAGACCATGATGGATGGACAGATTTTATCAATGCTACAATCCCAGTTACATGAGGGCAAGCCATGGAAGTTCCTGAGATGACATTAAAGTTCACATTTGCAGCTGCCGGCGACCATGCTGCCAGAATATTCAGACCGGGTGCCGCGATGTCTGGCTGTAGATGGGAAAAAGAAGAAGCAAGAAATGTTTTAATCAATCCAGTCATTTTAGATTTTACCAGGCTCTTAATCAAGAAAAGTTTCAGAATGGCCTAGTCTCACCCCACCTTCTCACAGACATCTACAAATATTAAATATTTTTTAATCGAATATTTAGGGTGGCATTGGCATTTTACCAAACAAATTGAGATTTCTGTTCTTTTTTCTGCTGTACACTTGTTTTTATTGCACCATATTTACACCAGGTCTGGAAAACAAATTACCTTCAAGATTGCCGGGGTCACAGAATTAGGACCTTTTGAAGAAAAGGCAGTCACACGAGGAGAAGGCCGAGTGCCCAATACCGTCTTAGCTGATAGAATTCTTGACATGGGCAAGCTGTAAGAATTCAAATGCAATATGCAGGTTAAAATCCATAAAAGGTACTTGTATGTTCTTTCCCCTTGACGTTGCTTGGCAATGTCATGGGATGATTCGGGGACCCTACGGTGTTCCGTTGGTAAAATTGATGGATCTTACCCCCCCTAACCCCCTTGGTAAACCCCCCATTCCGCCAAGACCCAAACCCACCCCCACCTACTTCAATAACACCCTCCAAGTTTATTTGACTTTGGAATCAAAATTTTGTTAGACAGAGAGAGTAATAACCAAACCTGGTTCTGTTAATATAAGAAAGTATTTCTTCTCCTGTTTGTTTCCCAACAACTGCAGCGGGGATGACAAAGGGAACGGCAACATCTTGATCTGCATCATCAATCAGAATCATCCCGACCCCACCCGCTTCCTTAACCACCACGCTCTTCGCAATCTTGGACTCGGTCGAGCTTTCAGCATGTCGACACACAAGAACCTTCCCCCTCACCTTAGTTCTGTTCAAAGAGCTCTCCAGACAGTAACTGTTGAAAAAAAAGAGAGAAGCAGCAGAGGGGTTTAGAAAATGGGGAACAACATATGGCTGGGATTTCATATTACAGCCAAGTACCTTGTTGCTTCACCTGGATTGGTATGGAGTGAAGTAGCCATTGAATGCCTTCGATGCAGGTATGATTCTTGCGAAGTTAGCCATTTCATCTGTGCTTAGGCTTACACCCTTCGGTATTTAAAAAAAAAGCGAGCAAAACGTATAAGAACATGTGAATTGACGAATTGTTGTCGAGAAGTTGACATACTTTCTATGGGTTTTTTGCTCTATGGAATGTAAGATTAGCTTAGGTTAGGCCTCATTCGTTTCATAATTAGTACAGAATTCAGAAGCTTTGACCAATATATTTTGGTGGTAAATATACTACCTCCATTTCTCAATTTAGTTTAAACTTGAATTTGTTGTTTTGGATGTTGATCCTTTAGCAAGTGTTATTTATACAATGTTAAAAAGGATCCTACATCGGAACTTGAAAAGAAAATAAATCGGTAAATAAGTTCTTGTATTGAACTAAGTAATCGATTAGATTCAATCTTTTGATATGATTCAACCAAGTGTCTTACGACCCAGTCCAGTGATCTTTACCTATCTTAAATTCTATCATCGTATCGGAGCTAGGTTTCTAAAAATTTTATAGTTGATTGGTCGATCGGCATTGAGCCGTCTAGAAGTTCATGTCGAGCTATTCGTAGTCATTTTAGGTGTTGGCACTTTCGAATACGGTAAAATATGAGTTTTCAATGGTGCCAAACCCTAGTTGTTGAGATGACGTACCGTGAAATTGACGCCGTTTGCGAACAAGATGTCAGAAGTGAATTCCCTATCGGTGGAGCTCGCGGCGACGGTGAGGATCCAAGGAGCGAGATTGATCGCCGAGCCATCGGTCCCTTGGTTGCCGGCGGAAGCGACCACCGCAATTCCATGGCTTGCGGCGTGGAAGGATCCAACAGATATGGCGTCGCTGAAATACTCCGACTGGGGGGCGTCCGGCCCCAGGGACAGCGACACGACGTCAACTCCGTCTCTGATGGCGTCATCGAACGCCGCTAACAGATCGGCGTCGTAGCAGCCGGAAACCCAGCACGCCTTGTAAACCGCTATCCTAGATAAGGAGGCGCCGCCTCTGGCCTCTCCGGATCCCAGAGAGCCTCTGTAGCTCGCGTTCCGGACGTGACGGCCGGCGGCTGTCGAGGCCGTGTGGGTTCCGTGACCGGAGCTGTCCCGCGCTGACCTGAATGCCGGCACGGCCTTATCAACATCTTCATCATCTTCTTCTTCGGCTTCATAGCCACTCGTGTAATATCTTGCTCCTATGATTTTCCTACAACAAAACCATTTCTGATTTTAATTGCATGCACATGGACAAACTTATTCAATTTTTTTTTAATTTTTATAAAAAAAAATAATATTATGTATATTTTTGTCACTATTAATTTTATATATCTTTTAATACCGGAGTATAATTTTTAAATACTTCGTATGTAATTGAAAGGTTTCCTTATACGGAATATATTAATCATGTTTTAGAGTGTGTTTGGTGAGCAAACAGGATATGGGTTTTGATATCTCGAGATATCAAAATCTTTTTTTGGTGTTTGGTAAAGCCAAAAAAATATCGCATTTGATATCTCCCGATATCATAAATCTTCAAAATGGAGGGTTTCGATATCTCACGAATTTGGAAGATATCAATATGGGAATTTGATATCTCTTTCAACCGTTGATCATTCTCCACTACTGATTTCCATTGTCACCACCAACCACCCCTGTTGCCGGTCACTCCCGTTTATCGCTAATTAAATCACGATTTTAAATCTTTCCAAACAAATTCGTTTCAGATTTCAAAACACATATCATATCTTCGAAATTTCATAACTCATATCTTATCATATCTCTAAAACTTACTAAATAGACCCTTAGTTATGGTTGGGTGTTTCTTTCTATAAGAATATGACATCATTTGTTCACCAAACAAATTACTGAGTGTTATAAAGATAAAAAGTTAAATTATGTTGATATCCAAAATTGGAGTTGTAAGTTGCAACAAAGTTTCTAAACGGATTTTGACTCGTTTAGAAACCTATTACCAAATCGACCTCATTCCATTCATTTTTTTCGAAGATTCATGCTTGAATCTTAACGAGTTGAATCGGGTTCGAGCCAATGGCAGATGGACTATTCCTACTCGGGCTCGTTTCGCCCTCTCATCGTTCGATAATATTTCCTTTTTTTTTTTTGCTTTGTCACGTAAAATTCAATAAGGTATGAAAATTAAATACTGAGTAAAATAAAATAAAACCTGTTGCATGTAGAAGCATTGAAAGCTTCACCGGGTTGGCAATGGCCCTTCCATCTATCTGGCACCGGTGCCATGTCACCATCACTAAAACTCGGAGATTCAGGCCAAATCCCTGATTTATATACACACATATAAAAATTATTCACTCACTTCCTACAAAATTACACTACATAAATTTGAATATTGTAACAAAAAAATATCTTATCTTTCGTTTTTATCTTTCGTTTGGAACAAAAACACATTTCATATTTAAAAATTATAACAAAATAGTGCTCTTTGGTCGAAAATGTGACAATCCAGCGAAACAAATTAGCATTCCTGTTGACTTTTCTTTGCTCATACATGTTATTTAAACATCTTTTGTCTTCATAGTACAAGGTATTTTTATTTTTAAGGATTTTAGGGCATCATTTTTAATGTTCAATAAATATTTGTGTGGTTATTGTCGAATAAAAATATATGATTGATTTAAATTAAATTAAACAACATGTATTAAAAATTTTAAAATTACAACTAATTCCTTGCAAAAAAGTTTCTTTTTAATTATTTTTGGATAATATAGTTTTATTAAAAAAGAAAAATTTACAATATAGAGGTGATGTCGTAGTCCCTATCAAGAGAGCCAAACACAAACGTGTACATAAGATAAAATAAGAAATTCAAAATTTAAAAAAAATAGATTCTTTCTGGTATAAAATTCTAAAAAAATGTTGCCCTGTATATTTGTTCGCCGAATTATCACAATTTTGGCCGGGAGGCATCATTTTGTTATAATTAAGTTTTTGTTATAAACGGTAAATATAGTACTCCTTAATTATTTTTTTGTGACAACTTTTTTGTTAAAAAAGACTATTATTGAAGAGTACTACTCTCTCCGTCCCAAATTATAATGTCTGTTCACTATTTAAAGGGTCAAACTTCATTCACTTTCTTTCTCTATTTTCGTTAGCAATTTGATAAAATAAAATATTATTGTCATCACTAGTTTTGTAGATCTTTTGATGTAGTTTTTTAATATGTAATTTTTATTTTTTAATTCTATACCATTTGTCATATAAAATGGTTTGAAAATAACTTCAGTCAAACATCGTAATCCGAAACAGGCGTTATAAAATACCGAGCATATCAATGTGATATGAAGAGAAAAAGGTGAGTCTGAATTAATGTGGGGGCAAGCCTATAAAAAGGAACACACCATGTCCCAAAATAAGTGTTTTGAATTAATTTTTAAAAAGTTCAAGAAAAAGTCAAAGTTTATAGTTTTAAAAAGTTCAAAAAAAATTTCTTATGACTCAAAATGGAAGTGAAGTTTCAAGTTTTAAAATTCATTTAATACAAAGTTTTGTATAAAAATAAAAAATAAAATTCATAAATTTAAAAACTACGTCAAAGTTCTTCGAAACAAAGTTGAGCATGTTTTAGATTGAACACTACAGTTCAGAATGAATATTATGTTGGTCAGAATGAATATTATGTTGGTTATAAATAATTTCAAGAGAGTATAGGACATACATTCAATGAGACACTCATATCATTAAATGAAAAATACTACTCCCTCGGTTCCTTTGAACTCTTCCCATTTTGACTTTGGGCCAAAATAAAGAAGATATAATTTTGGTTGACTTTCCAATTTTACCCCTAATGTGATTGGTAAAAGTAAGATGTGATAGTTTGGTTGTTAGTGAAAAAAGTATGATGTGATAGGTAGGATATGAAAAAATAGGGGTAAAAGTGGTTTTTAATAGAAAGTAAAAAATGTTTTAGAGAATTGAAAAAAAACGAAAGAGAAAAGATTTTATGAAACGGGGAGAGTAATTTTTTAAAAGTATATGTTATAATTCAAAAAGTTGAATCCCCACCCCCAAGCCCCCTCCCCCCACACCCACTCCACGGGACGATAAGAGGCCAACCCCATATAAACGCAAGGGGCCTATTCTTACCGCTCAAAATGACATTAGAATATTATTTACTTCCACACTACACACAGTAACAAATAAAAAACCAAACTTTGTGTCTTGTTGCAAATCTCCCTTCTTAACATACTTGCGCTATAGGTGGATGTGGTCTTGCATGTGGGCAAGGCTATAAGTTTTTTTTAGTTTGAATTGAGTGTGTCTAATTCTTTCAATTTTATATACCAAACAAAAAAGTTAGGAATTATGCATCTATGCACTTGATTCCCCTTTTTGGTGCTTCTTTATGTCCCAAAAAACATTAACACCATAGAGAGGATGGGCCCACAAATATCCAAATATGTTTTCCCATAATTTTTGCTCTATCTTTCCTTGGAGTACTCAATTAGTGACGATAAAAATTAGCATTAATATTTTGAATAATTTTTTGAAATGAATTCTATATATCATCTTTAATTACAGGAAATCCTTCATATTTCGTCTTCAGCTCTAAATTATTATATAAATATTTTCCACATATAGTTCCATAAGGATAGAATAAGAAATATTTTTCAAAAATTGAGGATTCTATATGAAATATCTTACAATTAGAGACTAAATATAAAGAATCAATTGTAATTAGAAATCGATTTTACAACAACGCTATAGGACATAGTAGGTAGTGTCATTGTTAGATAGTCATTCTAAAATGTTAAAACTAAATGTTGAAAAAGTTGTCACACGAGTACATAAGAATGAGCGCAAGGATCGGACCAAATCGGTTCTCTAGAAAGATCTATACTACTCCGTATTTAGAACACAATCAACCCAAAATGGCTCGTTCTTCCTTAAAAAAATAGAGATTTCTTTGGATCGAATAGCCCCGGTCGGGACCGATCCAAGTCCATTGTGCCGAGAAACACAATACAGTTCCCAAGAATTGTGCCGAACTGCGGGTGTTTCACATTGATAACACTCTTATTTCAGGAGTATGTGTTTCACGTTGATAATACACTAATCTTTAGAAGACGCTCCGTATAAAAGATCAAATATCTTATTTTTAGTTCTCACTAGTGTGATTTATTGTGTAGATTTCATTTCATACAAGTATGTTGTCACACAATGTGAAGACAAACCTGAATCAATGAAGCCAATGATGACATTGTCTTGGTACTTGGTGGAAAAGCCAGTAACTTCCATGGTTTCTTTCTCACCATTAAGCCCCATAAAGTCCCAAGAATGAGTTGTGTGGAGTGTCCTCTTGGCATTGGGGAACACTGATACAACTCCTTCCATTTCTGCAATTAATCAATTAATTAATCCACTAATATTAAATGCTCTCATTCCTCTCAACAATTAATTACTGAGTAATTAATTAATCAAAACAGTTATTCTCATCCTTAAAAACAACAGAGTATCCTTAACAGTAAAAAAAAAGCAAAATTGTCAGGAGGGACTCACTGGCAATTTCAAAGGCCTGTTCCTTTGTCAGCTTTGCAGCAAAGCCATTAAAGCCATGTTTGTAACTGTACACATGAGATGCCTTGGCTTCCTCATCTCTGCACCAAATCATGATAAAAGTATACTTAGTTATAATGTAAATTTAGTAAAATTGAGTTTATTCTAAAATATAGTTTTAAAATATTAAATTTTAATAATATTTAATTATTTCTAAATATATTTAATTCGTGGTCAAATAGTGGCACAATTTGACCATGACAATCTTTAAAGAACGAAGGGAGAATCATTCTAAAAAAAAGTGGAACGCAATCCCGAGCATCCCCACACACCAGTTGAGAGAATAGTATGATGGATAAATCACAGTATAATCTTAATCTAGCCCTTATAGTGATTGTCTAGTGTTTGGTACGTAAAAAAACTATATCATTGGATACAACTCTCATACTGTCGCTGTCAAAAAATTGATTATGAGACTTTGGACTTAACACTCCTACTTCAAGACCATCTAAGCTACCTGTGTGTACACTACCTTACCATTCTCCCACTCAAACAAACAAAATTCATGTTATATTCACATCAATTTTGATATCAAATTTTGATGTCATGCCATGCACAAACATTCACAAGGAATCATATATGTTGTGTGTGAAACATATGATATCAAGTATCAAATTTGGTATGAAAAGACTAAACAAGAGTAAGTTTGGCGACAAAAAATGGTCACTAAAGAGGGTAATATTCGAGTTTGATTCAATTCCTAAGAATCCTAACAATGGTTCGCTCAGGTATGTGGGGCATATCATTTTTTATTTATCAAATTAAGTTTATAACTCAATCTATTCCCTCAAGATAAATGTAATACAAGTCCCTTTTTGTCACTCAAACAAACAATTCTTTCTTTTTTGTTAATTTCCAAATAAACTTAGGCTCCGTTTAGTATACCGAATTCAAAGTATGGAATTAGAATTGTTGTTCTCAATTCCATAAAATTTCTAAACTAATTTTGCTGTTTGGTAGCATAAAAATATGTAGATTTGGAATTGATAGTGTCAAAAATAAATTGTAATTGGAGAACTCGATTTCATTCAAATCATTTCCATAAAATTTTATCTCCAACTCAATTTCAATTCCATCAATTTCGTGTACCAAACAGACTCTTAATATATTGTATTACCTCACTTGGTTGCTTAATTGAAGTTTTTTTGTTGTTTTTTTTAATTTTTTCCAAATTTCTTTGTCAAAACCCAATCCAAACAAAAAAAAGTAAAATTTGTAATTGTAGAGGCAAAATAATTTTTAAAAACAAATAAATTTAACACAATCAAACAGAGTCGCTACTCCCTCGGTTCTAAGACAAATCATATATTTTGATTTTTTCTGTAAATTGTGTCACACTTTGATTACAAACTACTCCGTATAAAAATTTGACATTATTAGGTCCATTTAAAAATTTATTTTTGATTTATTTTAACAATTATTTAATCATATTTAAAATCGTATTTATTAATGGTCAAAAATGAGATAATTTGACAAATCTTTTGGTTTTGGGAGAACATACTGCATTTAATTAAAAATAACGTACCATATGTCCATATCATTCGTAAATGATATGGTAAGAAAAGTGTAAATGAACGTGAATTGACCATCACACCCTTATGGGATTATTGATTGTTTTTATCATTTGGGGATATAGTTGTAAATTAACATTCACAAATCATAACATATAACACACTGGTCCTATTCCTACTCGGATCATTGTTCCTTTTTAAAAAATCCTCTACCACCTCGGCTTAACTTCCAATTATGGTAGACAATACTTTGTGCCAAAAGTGTTAATGTAAAAGGAAACAAAAATATAAAAAGATTTTTAAAGACTGATATATAAATAAAAATATAGAAATAAGAGTATAAATTCATATATGAATAAAAATGTAAAATTTTATATTTAAAAATACGTGAAAAGTTTTTCAGAATGAGAGGCAACAAGAATAATTTATTTATGAAATAACCAATAAAAACGTACAAATAAACAAAACATCTCGTGAATTTTGTATAGTGACTTTGGCAATGCAAGTAGAAGTAAAAATAGAGAAAATACTAAAATTGATACTCTATATTTTATATTGTGATAACGTAATACTGTATATTAAAATTTCAAAATATTTTTTTGAAATTATATGCTAAAAATTATTCATATTGTGACTCTTATTTTAGTACTTTTGAATATTATAGTCCTAATTTGATCTTTTTACCTTAGTTTATCCACATATTCTATCTGTCATACTCTCCATTATGTATGGGGTTACATAACATAAAAATATAGTGTCATTTCGTTTTATGTGGTAGCATACGCCCATTCCACAAATTTCTTGATTTATTGTATAAAAACAAAATTGCAATTTTCCCATTATTAAAAAATGAAAAAAAAACGAAAAAAAAAAACATGCTCTGTGTATCAAGATAAGACCTTCATCCTTTTTATACAAAATAGAGATTCTTGCAAATTGTGGTTTTCAAAATTTTGGAAAATATTCCGTAAAATGCCAAACTTTTAAAATATCAACGTGCAATGACAAATTGTGGTATTTTAAATTGCGAAAAAAAATATAAAAAATCTTATTTTAATACAGAGCATAAATTTTACATTCTAGTCTCATAGATTTTTTTTAAATAAGAATTGCAGAGTCATATATATAAGAATATATGTGTTACCTTCCACCATGAACAGAAGTTAGCATATAGTGATGTTTCTTCAAGATCCCTTCTTGTTCTTCCTCTCCCCTTTTGCTCCCCATGTACACAACATAAACCTTTGATCATTTCACCAAAATAGAAAGAAAAAATAACTATTGTCAAACATTCTTAATAACAAAATAAAGACAACATAATTAAATCCACTAGAATTATCTCACAACACATATTGAAATTAATTCTTTGCAAAAAATATGCAAAATTTACCTTGGAAGAGAGGCATAGGGTAACAATATCTGCCAGAAAAACACAAAGAAAGAGCAAAAAAGCAATCTTTTTGGTAACAATACACAAAGAACCCATTTTTTTATGATGGGTCTCCTCAAGAACAAAAATTGGGTCTTCAAGATTTTTAGGAACAGAGTGGGGAGTTCGGGGAAAAAGATGATGTTTTTATAGGACAGGGAGATAGGGTGGGGTGGGGTGGGGTGGGGGGAATATGTTCTGATTCACAGGTTTACTGTGCTTCTTCTTCTTCTTCTTATGTCTCTCTCATGGCGGAAAATGGGGGAAAAATTGAATTTTTATGAAAGAGAAGAAGGGGAAGAACATTGAGACGTGAAGACTAGAGAGTGGATTGGCTTTTTAACTGAACCAACCACGAGGGCTTCCCCTTTTCTTTTTTCCTTTTTTTTCTTTTTTTTTTTTACTTTATGACCGTTTAGAAAGGAGGAGTAATACTATGTTGATTATGTTCTATTCATGTGGTGGTTGTTTGGCAATATGAATGGGAAAAAATATCTACATCTTCCGTCCTAAAAAATTTGGCACGGTTACTATTGGAAATTTTGTTTATTTGTATGTTTTCATCAATTATTCGACAAAATAAAAAATTCTTGTTGCCTTTGATGAAATTTAGACGGGGCTTCTGAATATATAAATTTTATTTTTATTATTTCTGTACTAATTTTGGATAAATTAAAATGAAAAACGTCAAAATTTTGTTCTGTTTTGCGTAGTGTTGCAAAAATTCTTGGATAGAAGGATGGAAGTATGAAACATGATCACGGAAGGTTTGTTGTTTGTGGACAGGGGTTGCATCAAGAATTTTCTGGCATGATCAAGGTCATGTTCTCTTCACCTGATCTGATGGGTTCTAATTCGATTGGAATAAATTCTTATCTGATCTGAATATAGTTTTATTTAAAGCTATTTCGAATCTGATCTAATCTGGACTAGTCTGATCTGATCTGGTTCCAATAAGAATAACTAATACATAAATAAAATAAATTAGGAGAACATGGCCTGAATTTATAGAGTTCAATATTGTTGGATGTTTATTGTTTTAATTCTTTTCATAAAAAATAATCACAAATTTCATTTTGATGCACAAAGTTGGCCGTTTCCGTTAACCCACTGTTAGTAACTTAACGGCGACCCAAAATTCGCAAATTTCAGTGAATTTGAGATTATTATGGTGAAAGGTGGATTATTTTTTGAAAGACTGAATAAAGTTGAGATTATTCTGAATAGTTTTACCTATATTTTAATAGTCAAAGTGTTATAATAAAGATTATTGCGGCGTAAAAATTAAATTTAACACTAATTTTAAAATAAAACTATTTTGCATAGGGACAATTTTATTTTTTGGGATTGCTATTAATCCACCATCATTATAGCTAAATCCACTCCATTTTTATTAAATGGATAAGTTATATCCCTGTTTATATTTTAAAAGGTAAATTGTCCATTTATCCATAAATTGAGTGATTTAGGTACAATGAGTATGGATATAACTACACTCTAATTTTTTTCAATTTTCATTTTCAGGCTAGACGTGAATATATAAATGTACAAAATTTTATGTATAACATGTAATCAATGCACATATTAGAGAGTTAGAGGCACGTCTCAATTCTTATTTTTCTTTTCATTTTCCTTTTAAATTCTTAAACCAAACATATATAATGTTACTCTCAAATAATTCATCAATAATCCTTCCATGGAAGATCCTAGAGATGTTGTTCAATTCATCTTTTTTGAACTAGGAGTAAAAAATGAAACTCGATATTAACAATACTTTCTCTGTTACAAAATGTCTGCCATAATAGAAATTGAGCAAAATTTCAAGTTTTTCTAATTGATTTTTTTAAAGGTTGGTGTAGAAAAAAATTATATATTTAAAAACTACGTCAAAAATTTCTTCAAAACAAAAGATGGATAACAAACACTCCCTTTGTCCCATGAAACATGGGACTTTTGCTTTTTAGGAGGGATTTAAGGGGAGTGTATTTTGGTATTGAATTTCCAAAAATGTCCTTTGATGTGATGAATAAAAGTATGATTTGATGGATAGATTATTAGTAAAAAGGTATGATGTGATAGTTAGGGTATGAAAAAGTAAGGGGTAAAAGTGACTTTTTAATAGAAATGAGAAGTGTTTTGTGGGATAAAAAAAGAAAGGAAAAAGGTTTCATGGAACGGAGGGAGTACATTTTACTTCATCAAATAACGGATGAAAACTTACAAATAAAAAAGTTTCTGTGATTTTTTTATGGTGAATTATGACATTTTTTTGACTAAAAAGTATCAATCTAGCTCATATATAGTTGAGTTTTAAATATTTTTATTTAGTGGAGACATCATGTTTTGTATGTTTGCATTGGGCTTTGTTGGTCGAATTTTCAAAATTTGAACTTGAAAAAAAATAAAATCAAACACGAATGTATCTCTTGTGATTCACGATATTAATTATTAGTTGAGTTACGGTCACCAAAAATAATCATGATTTTCAAAAATAAATTGGAAGAAAATTTTGAGATATCTCATAGAAGAGCAACCACAAGGAAATTATGTGGCACATGGATTACATGTGATGTAAAATGGGTAAAGGATGAAAATATAATTTGACTATATCAATAGTAAAAAAGACATACTTTTTGTATTCTAATAGTAATGAATAGCTAATTAACTCGTCTCAAAGGTGAAATTTAGAATAATAGATCAAGGATCGAGCCTCACCAACGGTCCCTATTGTCGGTTGAGTTATCATGATTAACATCCTCTTACATTTTGTCGGGTAGGGAGTGAGGCGTGTCCGGGGTGAACGATTTCGCCTTTTGGAATAAGTAATGGTAGTTCAAATTTAGCATGAATTTTTAAAATGAATTACTCCATTCGTCCCAAAAAGATATTTTTGTTTCATATTTTGCGCATCCTATAAACACTTTCGCTCACATCTAAAATAACTAAAATTTACCATCTTTTTTTATTGTGCGTAGAAATTGTTTTAAATTTTTTTTTGACATTTGAGACATGGCAGAAGCGTTTTATGAAATGCGTAAAAAATGAAACACTAACGTCTCTTAGATAAGAAGGAAGCATTTTTTTGGGTGGATGAAGTATAAAAGCACAATGACTTCTAAGTTCTAAATAAGCACTTGGCGGTCAAAATTAAGGCACATGCATTATTGAAGGTTGATTCTCAGGAACATTGACCGTTTCCGAACTACTAGAGATGACAATATTGGCCTTATTTGAGAAGAATATCTCTCATTAGCAGTAACATTTTTATAATTTTTTAATATTGCAAATTAACTTACTGTATTTTAGAAACAATAAATTCAAAAACTGCCATTAGATGATTTTCCCGTTTCTAAAAACATTAAATTAACATACTGTATTAAATTCATTTTTTTGTGCATTTCGTAAAATACTTCTACCCACATTTATAATATCTAAACTTACCTTATTTGTGTTACAAATTACGTACGGATTACAACGGACGAGGAAAATGAACGACGCCGAAAAAGTATTCAATATATTCTGAATTTATAATTTATTCAGAATATTACAAAATAAACAAAAAACAGGAAATAACTTTCTAGATCTTCAAATGTCCTTGTTATACGTAGATATTATGCACTGGACTGCAAAGACATTCTGCACTGGCTGAAGCAGCAAGTCTGAGATGGAGACACTGTGCGAGGTATCATTTTCACTGGAGTAGTGGCGAGGTCATTATGGCTAGAACCAGAACACCAATGAGAACATTACGACCTGGGGCAGAATGCAGTGAGGTCGCTATGAACTAAACCTGCAAAAATCAAAACACCGTGGAAGAACAACGGAATTGTCGGAGCTATCCTTAAGGTAGCAGTACTTGTATGCCTACCGTCATGAAAAAATGTGGGCACTCTCCTTCCATGATAAAACCGCTATCGTGTGTGGTGATAGTACGGGCCAACCACACACCAACGAACAAGAACAGTGTAGGAACATTGGCGACCATAAACCCTGAATAGAGGATCGCTAGAACATGACCGGAAACCAAGAGCTCTATCTAAGAATAAAGAAAAGTTTTTTCCTTTCCTTTTCTTTTTCTCTCCCACGTATTGAGCACACAAAAAAAGAGATTAGGGAGGAGTCTTGTTTTTCCTTTTTAATAGGCTAGACTTCAAAAACTTGTAACATCCACCATAATAACACATTAATAATAGCATTAGTGGTGGAAGGCATTAGTGGAGTAACTTCCGTACTAATGATGTGAGTAATGACAAAAATTAGTCATAATCACATCCGTTACAAGCTATGTTCCATTTAATATTGGAGATAATATAGCCAGTTAACTCGGTAAAAATGGACTAATTTTAAACAATTCGTAAAAATAATAATAGAAGATTGGTTCAATAAAATTGTATGATTACAATCTTTACCATATTCTTCTATTAACGGGTTAACACTGGGAATAAATTTGGCATTAACCCTCTACCATTTTTGGCGTATAAATTATCAAAATATTGATCTAATTTAAGAGGGCGTACGTCCATTGAATAGCGGTTAAAACCGTTATTAAATAACAGTCAAATGGAAGCTATTTTGGTATATTACATCATCTAAACTATGAATAAATCTTCAAAATGGTTCTTTCAAGATTGGGTGTGGATATATGGATTGGGCAATAAGAGACTTAGGTTGAACTACATTAAAAGATTGAATTTAATCGATTAGTCAGTATAACTCAACAATTTATATATCGAATATTTTACTCTTAGACTTTCGATGAGGGATGCACTCTAACATTAAGTGGTATAAGAACGGGCACACCCCTAGTAGGCTCATGGACTCCATTACGGAAAAATATTTACTTAGAAATAATCAGTTTAATTTGGAGAAATATTTAATTATAAACAAACATATCGAGAACATACGTTAAGTATTGATGATAGAAAACATGAAAATCTCTTCTATTTGACTAGCATTTAAAAAATATTTTTGGGAAATTATAAATAATCACGTAAATAATTATTACTTATTGGGGCATATATATATATATATATATATATATATATATATATATATATATATATATATATATATATATATATATATATATATATATGAAAAAAATACTTAATTAGAAAGGACTATTTTGAGAATTCATTTCATTATTTGATTATTTGCGGTCTTTAATGAATAAAGATGTTACGTGACATTCAAATAATGAAACAAGGCAACAAATTAACATGGCGTGGTTTCGATATTATCATTTCCTTGGAATTGCGTAGATAGATATGATTTGTGTAGCTTGGAAGCAATGCCAAACACTAATGATTAGCAGCATTTATTTCTCAAATTTTAATTATGAGTAATTAATAAAGCAAGATTATGTTAATGGAAAATGCCATGATGCTAGCAAGAGCGTAGCATATTAAAATAATCATGCAAAATTAGACATACATAATTACTCTCTCCCCTCTCTAAACATTTTTTATCTACTTTTTCTTTTTTGACATAAAAAAACTTCCAAGTATTTTTCTTTAGCTTTTTTAATAAATAATAATGAACATTTTACTAGATCTTATTTGAATAAATTTTATCAATTTTTTCGTTTTCAACATTTTTCATAAATTATGTAAAAATCAAATAAGTAGCTAGAATTCTACAAATGGATTTAGTGTTCATGAAATATAATGAGATAAGAGCATCCACATTCATTCAACTCATGCTACTAAACCTTTTTTTAATTTGTACAAAAGAATTGTTTGTTCTTTCTCTGTAACACTATGTACTCGATATGACATTTTATCGAACCAATTAGGTTCTTTTGACATTAAAATCAATGTCATATTATGACATTTCTTCAATTGAAATACATGCAGTGATTAGTTGCATCGGAAAGTGGTTCTTATTTTCATGATCTCCTTTAGAACCCCATTATTATCCTTGCCTCTTAGCTTGTACTTAACTCTAGTTTCCCGATCTCCTTCCCGAAACCGACGATTGATAATAATAAAAACATTTTTGATGAAAGAATATCACTTTAAAATCCAACGAAGCACTTAAGTGTCCCGGATAGAGTGTTCGGTAAAAATAATCACTAGCATATAAAGTTGGAATTCACTTACTAACTCAAAAGTTTAAGCTGATAGATATGGTTTTACCCTTGTATATATATGCTAGTAGTATTTTTCTATATTTTTCAATGTGAGAATTCCAACACTTCTCATTTCCAACAACTTGCAAAGTCTCATCTTTCATAAAATCATTTATTTACAAATTGGTGTACCAATAAATCAATGAAAAGTATAAGTTTCATTATCCAAAACTACATAACATAATCTATAAAACAAGATGCAACAAAATATTTTATTTTATCAATTGGTTATGAAAATATGTCATTAAATAAACATAAGTAATCAAAAAATTGTAATAGTAAGTGAGAAGAAAAAGAGAGACATAGTGAATATAATGTTATTTTCATATAATGTAATTGTGACAGTGTTTACTAATATAAAAGTATAACTAATGGATTCTTGTTAAAAATAAACTTCGTTTTTAATCTTTTTGAATAATATTAAAGAGTATCCCACATCAAAACTTGAAGAAAAAAATAAATTGGTATATAAGCTGTTGAGTTGAACTAACTAATTGATTGATTCAATCTTTTAATATTATTCAGCTCAAGTGTCTTATTCTCCAATCTAGTTATCCTTACCTCATCCTAAAATTCTATCATGGTATCAGAGCATGTTTTGGACCACCTCACTCGTCAAAGTGTTCGTCTAGACGTTCATTGTAATACCTTGATTTGAAAATATATGGATTGGGGAAAGAAAAAGCTCAAAAGGATTGATAATACTACTTATACCAATAAGATGCATCTTCTTTTCGAGAGCTCATTGCCTAGAAACTCCAAAGTTAAGCGTGTTTGACCTGGAGCAAGATGGGTGACCCCTGGGAAATTCCCTGGGCACGCACGAGTGAGGACAAAGTGTGCGTGAAAGACTTATGTTGGTTTGTGAGGTCGATCCACTATCCTATCAGCGAACACTATCCTATGAGCGGACACTTATGGCCAGGGTGGGGGCTGAGGTGTTACAAATGATATCAAAGCAACCCTGCAACCGTGACGAGTTAAGAGAGCTTAGTTCACCTAGCGGGAAGATCTAGGGGTTTGAAAAAAAAGGATGCAACGAGGACGTTGCATTCCTAAGTGAGGGTGAATGTAATACCCTGATTTGAAAATAAATGGATTGGGGAAAGAAAAGGCTCAAAAGGATCGATAGTATTACTCATACCAATAAGATGGACATTCTTTTCGAGAGCTCATTAACTAGAAACTCCAAAGTTAAGCGTGCTTGACCTAAAGCAATTTTAGGAAGGTTGACCCCACTGGGAAATTCCTTGGGCGCGCACAAGTGAGGACAAAGTGTGCAGGAAAAATTTGTGTTGGTTTGTGAGGTCAGTCTGCTATCCTATGAGCGGATACTTACGGCCTGGGTGGGGGTCGGGGTGTTACATTCATTTTTAGCGGCCTGTTTGTCTTTAGCGTCCAGTTGTCCGTATGGAGTATGTACTCAACGGCCGGTGTCTGGTGACCCATTTAACCTGATTGCTTGTCTGGAAGTCCTTACCCAACGGCTCGTGGTCCTTTAGGTATTGGCGCTCAAACAAATCATCAAGGGGATGATAGTTCATTTGCAAATGGTCAACTGATTAGGTTCAAAATGGGTCAGTTGTCTACTTGAGGGGGAGTCCCACATCAAAATTTGAAGAGAAAATAAATCAGTAAATAAGCTCTTGAGTTGAACTAAGAAATCGATTGAATTCAATCTTTTAATGTGGTTCAGCCCAAGTGTCTTATAGTCCAAATTAGTTATCTCTACCCCATCTTAACTTCTATCAAAAAACACATTGAGAACATTTGGGTTTATTTTTTATTTTTGTATTCATATGTAACGATAGATGAATACATTTGGATGTACCCTGCATTAATGAGTACATTGGTTGATAGATTGAGATTTTGAGAGTCTGTGTTTCAAAAATACAATCTAACGTGACCTTAAACTTTACAATTTTCAAAGTTAAGCTGTGTTGGTGGGTGCCGTGCAATTTGCAACACAATGGATGCCTAACGGTATTATCCGAGTTTGATTCATGACAATTGCGATAAAAGATAATTATGCTAAACATAAGCCTCTGCAAATAATAGGTGCATGTTTCAACGTTTACCACCAATATGTGATTAAATTTCAATCTACATCTTCTTAGGTAAGTGACTGTCTGGTCGATTCTAAGGGGTCAAGAAAGATATGGTTCATCCTTTTTTTCAAAGTTAATCTATACTATTACTTCGATTTTTTTATTATTAAAAACAGTCATGCGAATCGAAAATACAGCTTTCAAACAAATCGGAAATTCATCACAAACTTCTTAGATTGTATTTTTTAGTGAAGAGTAATTTCAAATTAAGTGTAACAAGTGAAAAATTAGTTCCATCCAATCAATTCACACAAGGACTTTTACATTCGATCTTCTTAGGAATTACGTTATACTTTTTTGGCGCAATATTATATTGGTTTATACGCAATGTCAAATAATAGTTCAATTAAATTAAATGGACCAAATTTTGAAATGTATTAAAGATAGGTTACCGCTTTTGGAGTGACTCGTTCGCAGGTATTTGTATAATTGTACAACCTTTAATTTGTGTGCGATAGCGATTAATTCCTATGAGGAGGGGAATCCAAAATTTTCGATACTATAGATTGATACTATTTCCTTAAGGACAATTCTGGTGACTCTACTGCGTCTTGAAATATATGCGTTTCAGATGTTGTTTACAATGTCTTTGCTATAGATAGTACACAATGTCCTTGTTGATGTCTATATTATACTCCGCATTGTATCATCATCCTAATTTGTTGCTTTTGTCTAGGGCATAATGACATCTTTCTCTGGTGCATATTATTCTTTTTTTCAAGGTCATTGCAAGTTGCAATTTTAAAAGTTGTTTTTTTAATGCTACTTTCTTTATTATGATGTAGTTTTTGTTCAAATTATTTTCAGTTTAATGACACAGAAAGAGTAAATGCTTTTACCTCCGCTGATACTCGAACATGGGTAAATTTTCCCATAAATCACGTGGAGTATACTTCTTATCACTCAAGC